GAATATGTTAATGAAAATACGTTAGGTCGGTATGTATATGTACCGACACACCGCGTTAGTTTAGGTCTGAATGCGACCACGAAGACCAAGACACAATCACATGTAGTGTCAACTCGTCCACACGGGCTGTAGTGATGCAAAACCTCGCGCCTTCCTCTTAACCGTTCACTATGGTTGATGGGTGCGCGCGTCTGTTGCGAGTCCTCTACAAGGGGGTTACAGTGGAAGGCAGCCTGGAACGAAAAAAAAAAAAAAAAAAACATATTATAGGCTTCCTGAGAGTGAACGGTAATGTGCAGTCAAATAAACGGACGTGGTAGATGTGAGCAACAAATCTCCATTCGCCAGTGCACGGCGGTGGTAAATCCTTGTCTTTTGACTCTGTGACCTTCGGTGCCAGGAGCCCAGGGTTGGCCATTAGAGGGATTCCCTGGAGCAATTAGGATATTTCAAGTGAGGTACACGTACACGCACGCACGCTCAGACACGAAAACACACGACATCTAGATGAACAAACAAACAAATACACACAGACGAACAAAAATCCTGACGCCTTAACCCTTTAAAACAACAAACAACAACAACAACAAAAACAAACAAACGAAAAAAAAACAGAATAAAACGAAAAACAAACAACCAACCCCACCACCGCCTCCACCCCTCCCCACCGCCCACGTCCCGCCCGCCGACCCTCCCTGCAAGCGCGTGACGGAAAGGGCGCCCTCGGCACTGCCATCCCGACACTTGACATCTCCGGCCGGAGCACCCTCCCCTGTCAACGCCCTGTCTCTCTGCCCACTTCTCTTCGTCTGCATCTACCTCCTTGCTTCATCGCGTCCTTGTCGCTTCTTTACTCTGCCTTTCTCTCTGAAACTGTTTTCCTTCATTGGGTATTCTTAATGGATTAATTAGAAAGATGAATACGAATATAGATAGAATGAATGTTCATTGACTCTGTAGGCCTATCGTTCCTCTACAGATGTCCCTCCGTAAACATATTTCACCCCCTTCCCATGCCCCTTCTCTTGGACATTATCCATTAAGAAGAATACCCAATCAAGAAAACGAGGAATAGAGAGAAAGCAGAGTAAAGAAGCGACAAGGCAACGCGATGAAAGCAAGGAGGTACGATGCAGACGAAGAGAAGTGAGGCAGAGAGACAGGGCGTGACAGGGGGGTGCTCCGGCCCGGAGATGTCAAGTGTCGGGATGGCAGTGCCGAGGGCGCCCTTTCCGTCACGCGCTTGCAGGGAGGGTCGGCGGGCGGGGACGTGGGCGGTGGGGGGGGTGGGGCGGTGGTGGGGGGTTGGTGTTTTGTTTTGTTTTATTCTGTTTTTTTTTTCGTTTGTTTGTTTTGTTGTTGTTGTTGTTGTTGTTTTAAAAGGGTTAAGGCGTCAGGATTTTTGTTCGTCTGTGTGTATTTGTTTGTTTGTTAGTTCATCTAGATGTGTGTGTTTGTGTGTGTGTGCGTGCGTGTACGTGTACGCTCATTGAATACCTAATTGCTCCAGGGAATTCTCTAATGGCAACCCTGGGGCTCCTGGCACCGAAGGTCACAGAGTCAAAAGACGAAGATTTACCCCCGCCGTGCACTGCAAAGTGAGATTTGTTGCTCACATCTACACGTCCGTTTTATTGACTGCGCATTACCGTTCACTCTCAGGAAGCCTATATATGTATTTTTTTCTTTCGTTCCAGGCTGCCTTCCACTGGGTCAACCCCCTGTCCATGAGGTACCTGCGCAACAGACGCGCGCACCACATCAACATAGTGAAGGTAAGAGGAAGGCGCGAGGTTTGCATCACCTACATGCCCGTGTGGACGAGTTGACACCTTCATGTAGATTGTTCTTGGTCTCCGTGTGTACGCATTCAGACTAAACTAACGCGTATGTACGGTACACATACATACCGACTAACGTATTTTCATACATATTCCTTTCCTGTTCCCTTCTATCTCATCTTCTCGTCTCTCTTTCTTCCTGTCTCTCTCTCTCTCTCTCTCTCTCTCTCTCTCTCTCTCTCTCTCTCTCTCTCTCTCTCTCTCTCTCTCTCTCTCTCTCTCTCTCTCTCTCTCTCTCTCTCTCTCTCTCTCTTCTCTCTCCTCTCCTCCTCCCTCCCTCCCTCCCTCCCTCCCTCCTCCATCCTCTCTCCCTCTCCATGTCCATCCCTCCTCTCTCTCTTTGCATCTCCCTGTGTCTATTTATTTATCTCTCTCTCCCTCTTTCCCCTCTCTCTCTCTCTCTCCTCTCCCCTCTCTCTCTCTCCCTCATCCACCCCCGCTTCTTCTTCCTCCTCTCATTCTCTCACTCTCCTACTTTCTTTTCCTTTCTTTCTCCTGACTTTCCTCTTCCTGTTTCCTTTTTTCGTTTCCAGCGGACTTCTCTCTCTTCTCGTCGCCCAAAGCCTTCAGTTGGTTTCCTTCTGTGTTACGTATTTCTCCTGCGTCAAATATCACCGTTTCTTCTTCTTTTTCTTATCTTATTATTTCTTATTATTATTATTATCATTATTATTATTTGTATTCTTCGTTTTTCTTTTTCTTCTTTCCTTTTCTTCTTCTTTTTTTCTTCTTCCTCTTTTTCCTTTTCTCCTTCTCATTTTCTTCCTTTTCTCCTTCTCTTTCTTCTCCTTTCATCTTTTCTTCCTTTTCTCTTCTTTTCTTCTTCTCATTCTTCTTTTTCTCCTTTTTTCTCCTTCTTCCACGCCACACCCCCACGCCGACATCCCACATGCAATGGATAACCTCCCATCCTCCAATCTGCAACACCCCCCCCCGAATTTCTGCCTTGTATTGCCATTAAAGTGTTGATTGTGATTCCGCAGGCCGAGTTTTGCGAGGAAGAGGTAGTGTGGAGGAACTATTACAGTGCCAAGGGAAAGGTTAACCGCCAGGCCAGAGTTCTTGAGATGCGGACCCCGCCGCTGCCCCTTGAGGTGGAGCAGGCAGGAGAGGGTTCTCGCGCGCTCGCGCTTTCTGCGTCTCTCTCTCTTACTTGTGCTCTTGGCCTTGCTCTGTCGATCTGTCTTCTTTCTCTACTCTCTCTCTCTCTCTCTCTCTCTCTCTCTCTCTCTCTCTCTCTCTCTCTCTCTCTCTCTCTCTCTCTCTCTCTCTCTCTCTCTCTCTCTCTCTCTCTCTCTCTCTCTCTCTCTCTCTCTCTCTCTCTCTCTCTCTCTCTCTCTCTCTCTCTCTCTCTCCCTCTCTCTCTCTCCCTCTCTCTCTCACTCTCCTCTCTCCCTTCCCTCTCCTCTCTCCCTCTCCCTCCATCCCTTTCCTTCTCCCCCTCTCCCTCCCACTTCCCCCATCTCTCTCTCTCTCTATCTATCTCCATCTCTCCCTCTCTCTCTCTCTCCCCTCACTCCCTCTGTCTCCCTCTCTCTCCCTCGCTTTCCGTAGATATGTTATCGCAACGCTTTCAAAGGCCTCGCTTCAAGATGCAACTTGGCGACAGAGGTTCCCAATCCGTGTCTCCTCCTGACATCATGTTCCTTTTCTTTTTAATACTTTTCGAATAAGTGGTAAAAAAATATTCGCCAGTCTGCACAAGCTTTATATACCTGATTTTAGTGCAATGTTGCCTGAGGACTTGGCTTTAGAGAATGTTATTGATACCCCTAGCAAATGAGTCTACAATATTTCCCCGCAAGGCCTCGCGAGGACCTCGAGTGTCGCGAGCCGCCGGTTGTGAACCACAGCCTCGTAATGGCCGCACAGAACTGAGTTATCGCTGAGGAAGGCGAGGCAGGCGAGGCGCGCGAGGCAATGGCAGAATTCGCGAGAGTCCATTGCCTCCAGGAGACTCGACAGAATAGGAAGTGCGGGATCTTTAAGACTAAACTAATTGATAATGATGCGTGTTCCAGTGTACGTTCGAATGACTTCGATTAATGTGTTAATCCGTTATTTTTTGTTATGTTTTATCAGTTTTGTGATACTTTGCTGATGCTATGTTAGAATTCTTTTTTTACAGGATTTTGACTTCTCATTGTCATCTCGGCGGTACTCTGCCTGTGCAGTCGAGTTCATTCACCCTCCCTTGCCTGTGAATTACAGGGGGCAGAGCGTACAGGCTTTCTACTTGCGATTTGCTTCATTCTGAAATTTCGAGTTTTTGCCATCCAGCACATTCTGAATAACATTAGATATTTGCTGTTAAGACGAGTAAGGGAGTCAATCCCATGGCCCGCGGACCAAATGTGGCCCACAAGATGGTTATAAGTGGCCCGCAGGGTAACGAGAGTGATTATTAGGCCACCAATTTTATTTGTTGCTTCTCGAATTCACCGCTTCAATTTTTATGCATTTTGAAATAATGATAATAATAATAATAATAATAATAATAATAATAATAATAATAATAATAATAATAATAATAATAATAATAATAATATAATAATAATAATAATAATAATAATGATAATAATAATAATAATAATAATAATAATAATAATAATAATAATAATTAGGCCGGACCCGTAGCCACTACAGGTTTTGCTTTCGTAAACCTGTGAATATTACCACTATCAGAGGCACCTGCTGCCGGAAACCAATCAGAGATTATATTATATTATATTATATTGTTGCGAGAGCTTCTTTGTAGTCACGTGCTAGAGGACAACCAGTCAGGAAGCGTCTTATCTTTCTAAACAATGTAGCCAATAGGTTTTGTTGTGTGCGCCACTCTAAACTCTAGTACTTAACTAAACTTATAGTTTTAAACTATAAGTTTAGTTTAGACTTTAGTTGTAGAGTGGTTTATAGAGCATGTGGACAGTAGAGCAGATCGGTGTTTTCTTTGTAAAGCTGAAAGTCTGCATGCCAAAGAAGGCAGCAAATGCCAGTGGAAAGGGACCCGACGCAACTAACTTTTGCTGGTGGAGGTGTTTTTGCCTTTTGGGCGTGGATTTTAAAGTTGCTGGCTAACCAAACTTTGGATTGACATGATGCAAAATAAAAATTACAGTAGTGTTAGTAAATGCAACGCACGTAATTTCAGTCAAAAACAATTTTCTTCAGTCGGAATTGTAGTTATAGATCAAAGGGCAGGATATATTACATAAAACGTGCCATGAAAAGCTGAAAACTTGAACAATACTGTATTCTTTATGTTTTTTAAGCCCTATATCTTCACCTCAGACTTTTTTTTTTCCTATCACTATTTTTTCTGAAAAAATCCGAGAAGCAACAAATAAAATTGGTTTGGCCTTCTCCTGGTAAGTTATGATCGCCGTGAAGGAAAGTAGTCGTATAGATTTTGTTACCATTAGTGTCACTAAAAGTATAATAATTAATATATGTAATATAAAAGTTTTAGCAACGAAATGAAAATTGACCCGCAAAGTTTTTTTTATTTTAGGTTGATTAACCCGACCTAAATTAAGGCCAAGTGGTCCGTCCCCCCCCCCTCCCCTCGCTCCATAGAGAAAGAACAGCAGGGATAATCGAATTTCACGTTGCTTAGGGCATTGCTTATGCATTTTTATGCCAATTTCTATTTAAATACTTTTTTCTCACTCACCAGCCGTAATTCGCAGCCACATAGCTTAAAAAGACATGAACGCTTCTTTGATTACTGCACTATTCTTTTGAAATGATTGATGTTCTTAGTTCTCTGTGAAATAAAGGGTCATGCTTAAATGTTAATCAGGAGTGTCATCCAAATTCCTCTGTTGATTTGCTTCCTTCAGACACATTTCACTGCTAAAGAGACCCGCGCCCTTTCCTGATTTGTATACCATGCTTGGATGATAGTTCAGTGACCAGGATAACCAAGCAATGGAGACAATGCCCAACTGTCCTTGATAATCCATTACTTTTTAGCCTCTAAGTTCATGTCTCGCATTATATTGTTTCCAAATAAAGATAAAGACCCAGGTTAGAGCGTTCCCGTCCTCCCGCAGGCCGAGCTGGAGGAGGTGGAGGTGGTGAGGAGGAGCTACCACAATGCCAAGGCGAAGAACAACCGCAAGGCCCAGGTCCTGGAGGCGCCCTGCAGTCCGACCAGCCCGTCGCCGGTCTCCTCCGAGGACGAGCAGTCGGGGGAGGAGAACGCGGAGGAACCCAAAGCCAAGCAGGGAGAAGGGGCCTCTCAGACAGAAGAAAAACCCGATGACGGTCTGGACACAAGCATCGCCGAGGACAAGGGCGTCTCGGAGGCGGCTGAGCAGGTCGAGAAGTTGGAGTTGGAGGAGGGCGAGCCGGAGAGTGTAACGGAGAGGCTGTGAGGGCAAGATTCGTTGCCTTCTATTCAGTATTGTGAGAGATTAATTGGTAGACCATTCTCGTCCGTGATGTAATGAGATTATAATGTAGACCGATGTGCTTTAACCAGGTTTGATGTCTCTTTGGAACAATGGCAGTTACCTGCATTTTTTTTATTTAATGATTTCAGTGATTTGCCAGGATAGGGAAAGAAGTTTAATGTGACAACAGTTTTAAAGATGTCACAGGAGTACTTTGTAAATTATCACTATAACATTGTAACTTCCAAGATGTATTAGTGATAGCCATCTCAGAATTACAAAATCTGAACATTCAAATATACTAGTCTTGACATAATTCAAAAACTGATTTGCATTCCTAAGTGGTGCTGCCTGTGCCTCCAGTGCATTAGTAGGTAACTGTTATCATATAAGTGGGTATTGTGGGAGAAAACATCTCAGTGTATATTTGAGACCGAGAGAGAGAGAGAGAGCGAGCGAGAACTAGAACGATAGCGAGAGAGAGAGAGAACAGAAATGTAGTTGTGCACATAGCAGTTTTTATTTTTTAAAAATGGTTTGATTGTTCTGTTCTGTTATTGATATTACTGTTTCACATAAATACACGACTCTCAAGTTATATTCATAAGTATGTAACCTAAAATAAGGATTAATTTAATAATTTTTCACATGTACAACTGATATTTTAGTTGTTTTTTAAGAAATTAAGTAACATTAGTTTGTAACTGCCAATTACAAAGTATTTAATTAAGTCATTAAGGCGGTTTCATCCAGTCCGTTTGATAAAAGCTTGATATTAAAACAATTTACCAAGTCATAAGTTAAGTAGCCATAAGTGCTAAGCTAAAGTGCATAACTATGCCAAAAGTATGCATCAGATTCCTGGTAGATTATTTATGCATAATAATTGTAGTATTATTCCTATCACTTTTTGTGATTGGATAGTGAATTGAAGTTTTCAACATGAATGCATCCTAATCACACTCACACTCACACCCTCACTTACACTCACACTCACACCACACTCACACTCACACTCACACTCACACTCAATCAACCCACCCACTCACTCACTCACTCACTCACTCACTCACTCACTCACTCACTCACTCATCACCACCCACCACACCACCACCCACCCACCCACCCACCCACCCACCCACCCACCCACCCACCACCCACCACTCACTCACTCACTCACTCACTCACTCACTCACTCACTCACTCACTCACTCACTCACACTCACACACACACACACACACACACACACACACACACACACACACACACATTTAGGTGCATTATCTGTATGAATTTTTGGTTTGTTTTTTGGTGCATTGCAAAGGTGTCTTTATGCAAACTGATTGTGCTTGTATAATCAAAACAGTATATTGTGGTACTGTCATACACTCATACATAACAATTTGGTCAGAGTATTTACTTTTTTGTTTTGTATATCTTGAACAATTTGATATGAAGAAAAAATGATTCATAAGACAACCATAAGATAAATTGATAACTCACTTTGCCATTCAGACATATTTAGTCATTAATTATTTACATTAGCAATTATCACATAATGATGATACTACATACAAGAATAAATCTGTTGGTTAACATTGCTCTTCTGTTTGTATTTTGTTGTATGCTCGTAAAATGGAAGAGTACCATTTATTATGAAGAATAAGTTAATTAATTTGATTTTTAGGATGTTGATTAAAGGATAAGAGATTGTAGAAATTGAAGAACATTTTATCACATCACCAAATTTGTACCTTTGTTTTTTTTCTCATAATCACTGAATATGATGTAACCCAATGAGATATTATTAGAATCAGGATTTAGTCCTGATTGAAGATTAATGTTAAAGGATTTTTATCACTTTCCTTTCAGATTTTATTTTATAAAAGTATAATAGTAAGCCAAATATAAAACCAAGCTCAAGGGGAATCTTCCTCCCAGTCATGTGTGCATGTCTAAAATAGATCCACATACCCCGATCCACACCTCCCCCACCCACGCACACCCAAAAACATGCCCAAAAACAACAAAACACACACAAACACACACACACACACACACACACACACACACACACACACACACACACACACACACACACACACACACACACACACACACACACACACACACACACACACACACACACACACACACACACACACACACACACACACACACACACACTGTATATATTATATAATTATGATTTAATGAACAAAAATAGATTTCTTTTTATAGCCTAGGAAATCTAAATTTATTCAGATTTTATACAGATTTTTTTTTTTTTTTTTGGTTTCACTATATTCAAGCTAGGATAATCTAAGAGATTCACATATAGAATTTGTACTTCATTATATTAGCAATGATGATCATATTTTTGTACCTTTTCCTCTATGTCAGTATGAAATAGAAATATGTAGATAGACTTTCTCACTCTCTTTAATGTGTATATATATATATATATGTATGTATGTATGTATGTATGTATGTATGTATGTATGTACATATATACATGTACATAGGTATAGGTATTTATATATATACACGGGCATAACTAGATATTCGTGGCCAGGGGTAGGGGCCAGGGGCTAGATCCATTGAGGAGCCTCCTATATTTAGTAAGTTTGATGAAAAAGCATTTAGCAAACCAAAAACATTTATTTACTTACCCAAATTTAAAACAATAAAATTTTCAAAATTAAGATAAATAACATACTCCTCTTGCTCATTAAGTTATCATGTAAACATATTAAAATAAATTGTACTTATAATAATTTATACTGAATATGTTTTTGTTTTATTTAGAAGGCAGTTGTCATTTAGGGGGCTCCCTCCATTGGGAACACGGGCGAGGGGGTTTAATTATTACTTCCCCTCACTATCCATTTACTGTACAATTCTGTGGATGTATATGTGTTTGTATGTGTGTGTTATATATTATATATATATATATATATATATATAATATATATATATATTATATATTATTATATATATATATATAATATATATATGTATATACATACATACACATATACAACTGAGCCATTTTTCTTGCCATAGGTGTGACAGATGATATAATATGAAAGTACAGTAGAAAGAGGTGTTATCATAAATTTTCCCCTATTTTTGTTAAATTTTCCAGTGAACAAAATGCAATCCTTTTTTATACCATAAGAATCTCAGAAAAATGTAAAAGCAATTACATCATTGCAAGGACACCATGTACACCTTTTCTTTATTTTATTTTCTTCTATAAAAGATAATCTATGTCAGAACTTATGTTAATCTCTGACACTGATGTCTGCACTGATTTGCTTCATAAGATATTACCCTTAAACAAAACAAAAACAAAAAAAACAAAACAAAACAAAACAAAACAAAAAAAGTATAAAAAAATATTTGCTGATTGGAACTAGATTTTAAGTTTCAGAATTTGTGAGATTGGGAACCTAATGTTAAGGTAGGTTTTACTAGAGTATTTGAGATCAAACAGGTATTCTCAGAAAAGTATTTAATGTTTATTATGTATTACTTCCATATATGTAGAAAAGGAATATATGGAATTATTTGCATTTGCTAAAATATATATTTATATTTCAATAGTACATTTTTTTGATGTATGAAAATGCTGTAGAATGTAGTTTAAGTTAGCACTATGATATAATATACATTGTCAGGGAAGTTAAAAGCACATCTAGAATATGATAATATTTAGATTATAGTTTAATTATGCACCATTTATCACTAACATCAAAAATAATTGTACATCATCTTTTTGTTTTTTTAATGAGTGAAGTTCTTCATTATTTTATCATCACTTCAATATTTGTGAATTATATCATTATGAAACAGTTTTGAAAGAAAAATATACTTGGAGCTTCCAGTATTTTTGTGTGTTTGGCAATGGGGCTAAAAATAATTATGACAAAGGTATTGCAAGAGAAGAGGTGCTTTGGTAACTCAAATTAGAGTAAGGTTTCATTTATAATAATTCAATGAGGTGCAGAGAGTATCCAGAGTATATTGACAAGAAAATCAAATACTTTTTTTGATGTGGATTCCTGCTTGTAAGTTGAATGGTACTTATCATTACTGAATTAATGTATGATATTGCTTAAGTGAGTACTTCAGTGATGTAATTATGCTCTCAATAAATTAGTATATTAATATTGTTTATTTTCCCCTTTTAAAAATTTCTCACTATTACTGAATGGTTTAATAAACTATCACAAGTGGTAGTGGAAAGTCATATGCTTCCAAAGAAAACATTATTTATCACAATTTAATTTTCTTTTAACAATATATATACACAACAGATCTTTTAACAACATTCTTTACATGACTGTGTTGTAGTTTGGTAAAAAGAAACTGTAGTAATAATTACCTATTTTACATTCAATTTTTCACAAAATACAAGTAACCTATCATTTTACAGTACTGAATATCTCAAAAAAATATATCTGTACAAAGTCAAGTATCTCACATATATCAGCACAAGATTACCTGATATGATCTCTGTGATGAATGATATGATTCAAGTCTTAAACATCCACCTCATACTACCGAAAGTGGATCCATCAAGATGATGTTTGAAGGGAAAGAGTCCCGCAACATGATTCCTTTATCTTGGTGTTCGTCTAATTCCTCGATGAAGCCAAACCAGTATATCACCAACCCAGGGCCAAACCTAAGGAGAAATATATCCTATATATAATCGGATTGTTAACCCAATGCTACCAGGAAAATGTAATATTCACTGTAGTATTGTTTTATGAAATTCTACACATGATGGCTCCAAAAGTGCTTTAGCCAACAAAGTGTCAATTTGTAGAACTCGTGACCTCATCTATTTTCACCTTTTTTTGAGTTTTCAAGATTTTTTTTATTATTATTATTACTAATGCTGTCAATATCAATGATATTTTTATCATAGAAATCAAGTAAAATAATTCTGAAAATCTAGGAAACACATACAGGTGAGATAGATTCTATTAGTAACTGGGTCATTGGTGACAATACTTATGGTTCCATCTATGCGTATAGACAATTGTTAAACTAAGTTCACAATGAGCATGACATGTTCATACATACTATCCCCAGCAGAATTGGGCTAATTCCCAAAAGCTTGGTCAATAATAAAACTTCTAAAAACATCACGGTATAACAGCAAATACAGCAATCAAATTTTAATATATTTTGGCATTCAGTATCACTGTTTAAGCTATCATTTGCATCTACACAAAATTAAAACAGATTAGGATTCAGATCATACTTCTTTATAATACAACTTAACAAGCAAAAAGAATCATTGATCCTACAGTTAGGTATTCAATGCAAGGAGCTTATCCATTTCAAAGAGTAAGTCTTCAAGCATAAATAAATAAATCCTAGTTTAAGATACTCAAGGGTTTAAAGAAGCATGGCAGAAAAAAAAGAAACAGAAGCAAAAAGAAAAGGAAAGCGAGAGAGCCAATTAACAAATCACATGCTAACCTGTTCCAGTAACTCCAAAATTGGTCCTTGAGATATGTCCGATGGTTCTCTTCATCACCAAACGATGCTTTGCTCTCAATCCAGTTGATTACTTGGCCATCAACAGCTGTTCAAGATTAAATCAATGTATTAATCTTCCTATGGCCCCTTATAACTAGTTTTCTAAGATGATGCAATTACTGATCCAGCGACCATAGTTTCCAAGCTTTTTCACCCTTGTTTTTCCAATATATCTTTTACATCTACTAACATATTAACTCTATATGCATGAGGTTTTCAACTAAAATCCACAGAACTTTTTTATATTACTTTGACTTAAGGCTTGTAACTAATGTTTAAGCTAATATTACTGTAATATGCAAGGTAATAATTTTCTAGATATTATTTCAAAAGTTGGACTCTTTACTACATATCTAAATGTTAATGGCATACCTCTTGACTGTAAGTACATGAAATCCACTTCTGTTGGACTATGAAGATTAAAAACATGAAAAACTCCATTCAGTATACTCCACAATTTTTAACCATATACATAATTCAAAACTTTAGTCATAATATACTTACCAATAGGTATATCTAGCTTGATATCTGGAGTCTTATCATAACCCTTCAACCGCAATTCATCTTCATTATGGTAGCTTATGTTCAGCTTCTCCAGATTTCGTCTCAGCAAAAATTCATATTCATGACCGATGGAGCTGAAAATTAACCATGTGTTAACTACCAGAGATAACTATCGATGCATGAATGATCATATTA